AATGAGTATCAAAGTAGAGTTCAGTGCAATTGATAGAGGGTTATGCAGACGTTAAAAAACTGGCATTAATAAGTTTTGCTTTTAACTCAGTTGGTAGTAATATTTTCCGAAAAAAAACATGACTCAGAAAAAAAATTTCTGTGATCTCTAGTTAAAATCTTACACTAAAGTTATAAAGTCAGTAAGTATCAAGAAAACCGGTTTAATCTATAAAATTTTTAGATAAGTTAGACGGAAAGAAAGAAGGTCAATGATTCAATTACATACAGAAAATGAGACCGCCATCGGTAGGATTATGATTTACAGATGAATTAATCAGATTGAAGAGAACAACTCATGAATCTTAGGGCGAAATGCATTCATCTAGGTAGTTCAATAACATGTTGGCAGTATAACTGATATCAGTTAGTGATGGAAAACTTAACCCTGGCTCTTAACTCTGACTCCTAGTTCTAATTCCCCACAATAATTTGTAATCCCACTTTACCCCAAAAGTGGTTGGAGCTCCTTAAGGTCATTCTAGTTCCACTTTGAAGTCATCTATAAATGATCATCTTCCCCCAATATTTTTTGTAGCAGCTTGTTAAGCTAACCCAAGTCTATCAGAATACCATCACCTTTGATTCTATTTCAATTTGATTTGTAGCACGAAAAATCAATACACTAAAAGGTCTCTTTCACAGTAATTAGTGCTTTAATGTTGATCCGCTAAGTGATGCTGTCTTTTTCTTTAGTGAAACAGAATCTATACAATTTCAGAGCAAAAGGCATCACGAAAGGCAGCTTGTAAAATACTTCAAATGTCCCATTTTAGCGAAATGAAAAAAGGGTACAGTTTCAAATAATTCTATATAGATCATAGTGTTCATCAATATTTATTTGTTTCTGAATGCGTATAATAAATTGACGAATCAATTTCTATAGATTGTTTAAGGTCATATTTTTCACGTGTAACACATTCTATGGCGTTTTTTCCGCATAAAAACTCATAACAGCACATGACTAATTAACAAATGAGCTAGAAGGCGTGGGCGATGAAATTAAACCACAGGTACTTTTATTAACATAGACTATACTGAATATCATCAACCCTTTATAATGAAAATACAATAAATGTACAGTTAAAATGTATACACCTGTAGGATTATATTAACCACAAACGTACCTTATTTGTGATGAGCAGCAAGAGGTGACCGTGTATCGTTTATAAAGATAAGAAATTAACCGAACAGTTTTTAGCAACTCCAATAATAATAATTATTTTAGATTTTCGAGGAACCCATGTAATGTAATCAACCAAAGCCAAATATCTTTTTACAAGTGATCCCAAATTAAGTACATAGATTTTAATGTTCATTGAGGTCTGAAAAAACAATCTGGCTGTACTGGCATCCACAGAAATGGTGATGTTCACAAAGAAAGGAAGGGATAAGAAAAGGCCAGTCCTAAAAATATCACACCTGACTTAGCCCCATAGTTCTTTTGTCTCAAATGATAAGTCCTTTAAATTACGGGACTGACAAGTGAAAAAGATTTCGCATAAAGACCGCGCGTGACCAGCCATAAGCAGTTGTCCTTTGGGCTCTGTGGTCATGCTCAAAGGTCGCTAAGACCGATCGAGACCCAGTTTCCTTTACAGATCTCTCAAGAAAAATATCCTTTTACAGTTTGGTCAACTCGGAGGGGACGACCTCTCCCATATCTCTAACAACACTCGAGATTACCTCGTTCACGACTAAATCTCTTCGTCACTCTGAAGTGTTTTTCCCATCCTTAGTATCTACCCTTCTCCCATGACCTTAATACCATGTGCCACTAACGCTAACAATTTGAGTTCATGAAGTGCTATTGTGGATCCCCTGAAACAGCTTTCCGAATTACATGTTGGAGCATTCAATGTTCGAAACTTAACTCAAATTACACAACAGACTTCCTTATCTAAGTCCTTAGAATTTAGTGTTATTGATGTATGCTATTTATCGGAAACAGGAATAAATGACTAAAGTGATGTCATTCTCTTGACGTCAATATGGAGAACTGACGCGATATATTCTGGTGTAGCTTGTAACCTACCCGTGCTTTTTCATTTGGTCTCGGATGTGTAAGTGCAGCATTAAGTCACAAAAGAGAATAGACTCCTTTGAACTGGATCATGAGAGATAGTCGATTGTATACTCTTCGATTAAACAGGGCAGTAATAATTCGGAAAGATATAATTGCTTCTTGGTCGTTGTTGGATATGCTTCCACTGACTGCAGTCTAGATGAAGTAAATGATCAATTTTACAGAAAGCCTTTTGTTCAACTTTGAAAAGTCAAACACACAGACACCGTAATTGTAGTGAGGGATTTTAATCTTCTAGTGGGTGGTCTAAAAAAGCGAAGGACACTTAGGTGGGTCTTAAGATGTTCCATTTAAGCGAACGGAAAACGTTGAACGTCTTCTGAGACTGTGCTTAGACGACTGTTTATTTTAAGCAAGCACCAAATTTCAGCATAAGGAAGGATATCGTACGATATGGAGACCCCAAAAATAGGTCATACCGAAATCACTCATAGTTGGAGGTACGGTATAAAACTAACGTTCATTTCGAAGCACATGTTGAGACTGTGGTTGGGTTCTAGTGTGAGGATTCATCTGAGTCTAACTGTAAACAGGAAAGGTCCAGCAGGAAACCTGCAAAATTCAGCTTAACGACAAAAACGTGCAAAAGTATACTTCATAAACGACTTTAAAAAAACAGTGAATTTTAAGTGATGTTCAACCGGATATAGATTGGTGTGGTGCTCAAACAACTGCCAAAACAGCAGTGATATTTGACCAGTAAATTAAACCAAAAGTTTAAGCGAATTCAGTGAATTTCTGGAGTCTTTTGAACTAAAAAAAATACTCCAAACGTATCAAGTTTTGAACATGATGAGAAGCAAAGAGAGCTTAAATATAGAGTGAAAACAATTTACGCATTGATCGTAAGAAGCAGTGGGAAGTGAGAGCAAAATAGATGGAAAGAATTCGATCATAGGTATCTTTGAAGCATTGATCGTGTGTATTGGGACCACCGAGTAAGTAATGTTGGGGTTAGACACCGGTTACTAGGTAAGGATCACAAGCCAATTAGTGAAGTATTGAATATTTATCGACTGAAGTGAATGAGACATGTATTACGTATGCTTAACTACCACCTATCTCGATGGACAATGATGGCTGGTACAGGAGTACGTTGTAAGAAAGCTAAGAGTGTCAAACCAAAATGTGGTATCAGTCCATGAAATTATTGACTGATGGAGTGAGACGTTTAAGTAAGTTCAGACTATTTGTTTGAGGTTTGAACGACCATCTTCATTAATAACTAGAAACATTGAGTGACATGACTCACAATTGGTCATAATGATGGAGGTGCATTCACTCTTTGTGTTCCCTTAGATCTTAAGTTTCATAAATATCTCGAAGAAATTTCTACTCCATAAATCCATATTTTCTATGCTTAATCTTTTCTAATACCACTAAAACTGTTATTACTTATATAACTGTTACATGACAACTTGAAATGATCCACATATACGCTAGATTCTATGTTGCTTATGTCTTATTGAACATACTTTTAGTTATCACGTCTTGTATGTAAATAATAGTTTCATTTCTACAAAATTATATTTAGGTAGTTGGCCGGATGCATTATTTTATTCGATAATAATTATTATGGGGATCAGTTAAAACAGAAAATATTGATCGAATCATTATCTTAAGTCGTGTTTACTAGACTTGTATTTGGCTCAGTTTTTCATCAGTCACATGTCACCTATCATATGTTGATGTTTGCAAGATAATCCTAACCTTTTTCATAATTGTACAAATTAAAGATGTTAGCTTTATTTGATAGACCTTTGAGCCTCTTTGTATGTGTATATGTTTACCTTGTATTATTTAACTAGTCATAAATGTAATTTGTTCTGATTTAGGTTTATACATCAATCAATTAATGAAGCACAATAAAATGATGTTCGTAATTAAATCTGAAAACTTACAGACAATAAAACCATTGGTTCTAATTTTGTTTTTCGTGCTCTTGAAAAAGATTACTATATATCAGACAAGGTAAATGGATTACTATTTGAAATAATGTGAGTCGTTCAAAAAACAATAGATATTCATAAGAAAATATAATAAATCTGGTTTTAAATATTTACGCAACATGGCTTAAAATGTGTCATAATGGAACAAGTACATTTAATTATTTATCATTCAATAAATACCGAACATTGCATCATTTTTAACGCCATTCTAAATTGACGACTCATGTTCTCACAAGTGATTTTCTTGTTGCCTATCATTTTGAAGTTTTTTATACGAATTATCGTAAAACATGTCAAATTTCGGCTTAACTTTTTCTATTGATGTCTTTCAAATTGGTGTTAAAGTGATGGATACAATTTTGTTTTGATAACCTAGATTTTGTTATTGTGTAGTAGAGGTTTGGATCCTACTGTAGTTATTTTATCTAAGGTAAATAACAATGGTTAGTATCACTAATTACTTCACTAAAACAAAAATTATGGGGTCAAAATCAATTGTACAAACTTCTACTGCTTATATACACGTATTTACTAACAAATCAAACATTAATTACCATTGATACAAATCAATCAATGAACAATTTTAAGCCACAAAAACTCATCAAGTATGAAGTTTCTTAGTTAGAAAGATATAACTGAAGAAAATGCATGATAGGCCATGTGATAATAATAATAATAATAATAATAATAATAATAGTAATAATAATAATAATAATAATAATAATAATAATAGTAATAATAATAATAATAATAATGGTAATCGATTCAATTTTATGAAATATTCATTTTTGCCATATCAACTGTTGCAAAACAACCATATACATTGTAGATTTTTTTGGAGAACTAACAACACAGTCACGTGAATAAACTAATTTAAGCTAAGAATTCAGAATGAAAAAACAATATGTGTAAAGTTATTTTGCTTACCTATTTCAACAGGTATATCAGTAATGTCATTTTCACCGGCCATAATCACTTTCAATTTGGTAAGTTGTCTATGGTGATGTAAAGCGAAGTAAACAAAGAAACGATAGATAAGTAGTGGGGAGATAAAAGGTTATTAGAGATATATGTTGTAATGGCAATTTCAAATCTAATAGATATTCTTTGGAAAAATATACATCTAGTCATCTGAGTCGTTTAATGTTCAAGAAAAAGAAGACGATGTGTAAATGTACGTGTTCGAATTCGTTTGAGTCTTAATTCTTGAAGTTTCCGAGTGTTCTTTAACTTCTCAGAATATTCCAAAATTGATTTTGCTAGTAAGTCCATTCCTTAAAAGTATATTTCATATTTTATTATTAACACATTGCTTTGTCGATAGCTCAAATCAGCTATTAATGGTATTTTCTTAGTACATTATCCAATTTTCTAAAACTCGAATTACGTTTAATAATTATCAATTGTTATTATTATGTTAAGCGTAAATTAGCGTTAGTCAGTTGGCGGTGATCGACAGGATATTAAAAATTTAGGCGTCATACTAGTTGGTGTTCGTCAAAAAGTGAGTGGTAATATAATCTAATTGCATGCCATCCAATGCAAGCTATAAAGCATGACGGATAATAATGCGTAGAGAATGTGCTCTATACCTTACATATGAAGTATTTATACCCAGGTTGACTGAAATCTATTGTATAACGACTAATATTAGGAGAGTGAGTAGCATCTATCTCTAAAGCGTCGAATTACTCAACAGACTACAATACTATAGAGTAATACTGTAGTAATACTATATCACTGACTATAACGTTATGTAGAAAACTAAAGTGAACTCTGGGTTCCAGTATTAGTTATTTTTAAAAACTAATAAAACTGTCCGAACTTTCAAATTGTCCCAGTCTAAGAAAACAAAATTTTTCTCGAGACTGGGTACAACAGTTTTTGAATTTACCATCACTTTCAAAATTGGACTAATATTATACACATGGTAAGTAATTAGAAGTTAACAAATTATGATTACCTTTAAGAATGGCATAGACTTGGACCTATTAAAAGAGAAGTGAAATTCCACACCAGAATGTCTATTTTTTATTTAAAAAACAATGACAGTCATTCATGATTCAGTGCCTGTATATACTACGATGCTGAAGGTTTGTAATGATCGATAGTATAAGGTGAATATGATCGCTTAGATATGTATACATGTGTTATCATTTGATAGTAGACTCCATGCATGTAAACTGTCTGATCATTTCTAACCAGATCAGTAATGATAAATCGACTTGAGGAAAAATTACCGACAGTGAGATAAGGATAAATATTATATGTACATCAGTCAAACTACTCTTATAGAATACTGTCTGTCACCAGTTGATTTTATTTTTGTATGCTCATAAATGTTTATCATATTGGCTAGTAAAAAGGATCGATCAACTCGATGAAATTAGGCCATTTTTATTCTCATCTGGTTGACATTGAACATTGTATTAAAAGGGTGAAACATTTTATTGAGGATCATAAGTTTTATAATTTATGCATAATGGGCGTTGTATGAACGAATGCCAAGAAATTCGATTTACGTATTGAAAAAACTATATTCAACTATTTTGTTTGTCATATAAGATCGATTCACTCTTAAGTAAACTAATGAGTTTAATTTCATATTATAGCTATTTCCTTCTAACTGTTTTATATGGTTAGGTTTAGGATCCGTCTCAATCTACTTTCAGGTTGGATTATTAATAAAGGGAATAAACTTAGTTCGATATAACATTCCTCTCAGTTTGTATTATATTCACTGATTACAGCTTACTATTTTAGAAAGCTCGTTTTTAGGCTGGACATAATGAATATTCTATATACTTAAGATATTATTATTAGTTTTTACATATATAACTTATCAGTCATTTTGTATACAATTAAATTACAATTAATAACAAATTCATCAATCTCCACCTTTTGTATTATATATTCATGTATCGTTAATCGCTGTATAGCATTTATTAGTTCAATGGAAACTGTCTGTGTATTTTATATTGAATATTGGAAATCAACATTTATGGACACATGATCACATATGTATGTATCTGTATCCGATGTCTGATGTGTTTGAGCAATGCTCAATAATTTTGTACAGTTGGCGCATAGAGGTCATTAATTAAGAAATTTATTTCAATGTGTAGGATCTATTATTTTGAGCATAAGCGATTGAGAAAGTATAAAGTTTCGTTAAAATGAAATGAATACTACTAACATTACCTTCGCTACTAAAAAGAATATATATATGTTTAATAAAAATAACAATTAATGTCACAAGCTTACCCAATACTTGCAGGAAATGTTTTCAATCTATTACATAGAACATTTAATTCTTGTAATGATGTTAAACCTGATAAATCATTTGGTAAAGATTCCAATAAGTTTGATTCCAAATCCAGAATACGTAATTTTGATAAATGTGTAATTTCGTCAGGTAAAGACTTCAAATGTACAAATATATAGTAAATAAAAAGAAACCATTGAAAGAGATAGAGAGATTGAATTAACAACCAAGTTGCTGTGTTATAGAACATAAGTACACTATAATATATGCATATATAACGAAAGGTTCTTATTTGTACTAAATTACCTAATATAATTTATTTTCCAATTGATTTTCTATCAGGTTCAGTTACCAAAACACAAACAAGCAAACAAACAAACAGAGAATCAATCCGTTTATTTTAAGTAGGTGTGCTATAAATAACTTATTTCTTTCTTTTTGGTATAGTATAAATAAATAATTGAATGATTGGAGTGATATATACAGACGAATAAAAGAAAACAACAAACAGTTCATTACTTCTAATTGCCTTGTATTAAAAAAAGACCAGTGAAATAAATGCAGTTTAAGAGAATGGACACGGACACACACAAGCACATAAATACATATACACATACAACTAATCAGTCAAAAAAAGTGAATAAAGACTATACAGTTTACTTAATAAATTTATATATAATTTAATCTCTATTTATACAGTTAAAACTAACCTTAAGATAAATTGATTACACAAATTTTTATCAAGTGATTTCTCTTATTTTTTCAAAGTATTACATACACTAAGCAATAAGTTATGAATACATTCATAGTTTGATGTATAGGTCAAATCACTATGAAATATATTTTGTACATTACAGCATAACTTAGACAAAATATTTTATAAGATTATGAGAAAAGAGAAAGCCTTTAAAAATATTACGGGTTAAAAGACACACATAGATTAATTTATTATAAAGCTAACAAACTAAAAAATATTCATGAAGTTTTCATCTCCACTGAAACTGTTGTGACTTCTGCCCGGTTAATTATCACGTGATATGATCACCAATCAGGATACGACATATACACTGTGCCACAATAATGGCGTATTGACCGATATGAACAACCCAGTGTCCTAATTAGTCCTTTTTCTTCTTAACCCTGTCTATTGAGTTCAGAACGCCAATATGAGCTTCAAATGTACAAATAATTTTATACATACTGGCTTTATATAGAAACAAACCAGACCGCATCACACCATAAAAGTAATTATTATACAAGATCAAGCCAAGAGCGGCTGTAGGTGTGAGGCCTTAACTAATAAATTAGGAATAAATTAATAACCGTAATCCGTATAACAACAATCTATAGGTCAAATGGAAGCCTATAATAAGAAGAATATAAATATACATAATCTAGATGCTCAATAGTTATGCAATAAGAATATATGTATAATATTAGTCCATTAATAGATTTCAGAAGCTAACCATAACTTAATCTTAGCAAGGATATAACAAAAACTATTAAACAAAGGCAAAATCAATCAATAAAATGAACAACTAATGAATTATTTTATCTATGAAGAACAAAACGAACAAACACAATATACCCGTAAGAATAGATTGTATTAGTATTATGAAACTGTTCTATATGCTCTTGTAAAAATACACAATAATCACAAAATCATATCATTTAAAAAAACACGATTACCACGTGTTCATTATACACAGGTGACTAGTATTTAAATGAAATTTTTGAAGTTCTGGTAACAGGTCATAACCTGTTAATTCAACTAAGGGATGATTAAATCATTAACTAAACAATGACAATGGATGAATATCCCTTGATAGTAAAGTTGAATTTGAAAATATATACAAATCTCAATCTAATACTAGGATTTGCTACAATAAACACTGTTTAATTTACCTTATAGCAGCTCACGTCAGGTGCAATTGAGTTTGTTCATATTTAACTTGGTTAAGCCCTTTCGTTAACTTATTTAACGGACAGAGTCATCCGTACAATAACAACTTATCTATACTATTATATCTCCATTATTGTTGTGCTTGTATGGATATATATATGCTTGAGGATTGCTTACCGCCTACGCACATATTCATTCTGCTAGCTTTAATGTTAGTCACTTGATTGAATCGATGACTCATTCATTTCCCTAGGTATATTATAATCCTGTTCATTAAATCGTTCATTCGACTTGCACGCTCACTCGCTTGCTTTTCAGCACTACTCTTTCATATTTGCTTAGCGTACCTGTAGTTTTGGTTTATTTTAATCAGCACTTCGTATTCGCCTTCTGATTAATACAATGTTGGGGCGTTATCTAGTGACAGTTATCAAAATGAACTGTATATGAAGTTTAAGGATTATATTGAATAACGACCACCACAACCTCTGTAAAGTAGATTTCAATTATTCATGTGTTTCTTTTTAAACGACAAAAAACAGCTTATTCTGCAAACGTCCAACATCATTTATTCAAAAAAAAAAATAATAAAATGAGAAAAATGATTGAATTATCAAGATTCAATGTGTTTCATGATGAGTCAAAACTATAAATGACGGAAAAACCGTAGAAACAAATATACTAAGTGGATTTTATTATTGGGACAGATTCAAACAGCACGATGAAGCCTTCAGATACTCTAAAGGAGCCGAAGGGATTCCGTCCAATCGGAAACTGATAGAACCTTTCAGAATATTAACGTAGCATGTTATGATTGAACAATTGCATAGCTTTCCTACTTCCAGGTTGGCTGAATTATAATGACGTTATAGCCAGTACCAACAATTATGTATAACCCTGTTTTTCTGTACATTTTTGACTAACCCAATAGTCACTGCCCCTAATTTTCCAGTTTTTTGATTTGCAACTGTGGGGTTCTACACGTTCGAGCGCCGATAGTTGTATACCGCATTCTGCTGTAATCAAATAGATGGAGTAATATTTATTTCTTGAGCTAAAAGAAATAATCCAGCCTTACACAAAACTCAACAATTACTAAGATCCTTCAGTATTATTGATTGATCTCAGCCGAAAGAAGATTAACATTATGGAAAAAACTAATTGTTTCAATACAATGATTCACTCGCAGTCAAATTTTACGATTGATAAATATTGGAAGTAATTTAAGATAAACAAAATAATAGCAGAATGAATGGAAAAAATACATCATTTTCAGTTTGGAAAGGATAGGAGGATGGGTGGCCTGTGTTGGTCCTGGAAATGATGGTCTCTCTGTTGATCCAACGTCTCTTTAAAAACGTCTACAGATGGAGCTTCAGTCACGTGTTAAGATAATGAACTCCATTCATTGATGATATCAATGTGAAAGTATTTAGAAATAAACAATGGGTTTAATATACATGATTTTTATCACATTGAATCAATTTGAATTCACATAGAATGGTTATGATTAATATGTATCTAAAATATGTCATAATTGTTTGTGCTTAAACTATACAGATTACTTTTGTTTTATACACAGATGTAATTTAACCTTCGAGTTTTGAACGAAGATGTGGTAGATCATATTGTTAAACAACTGAATTTTATAGAGAATTAATCTGATACAAATATCATTTTAGCAAACAAATATGAATTCTAGGTAGAACCTGATTAGAATATAATAATGTGGCTAACTTAAAATGACGTATAATTCAATATGAACAAGTTATTACGTTATCTATTGAAAGAATGAAACTGTTTTGCATCTTACGAACATTTATAATCACAGAAATTCTATTGTTTTCTGTACATAATTCAACCTTCGAAGTATGCCTTTGACATTTTAGAGATTCTGTTTTACACTCGGGGTCCAAGAACTAAACATTTCAACTGACTAGGAAGTGTGTAAAGCGCTCAGAGTAGAAGGCCATTCACGATATATAAAATCAGACAAGATTACCTAGACAAGAGTGACAACCAAACAGCTTAATGGATTTGATCATAAAATAGCATTAAGTATAATTTACAAAAAATTATTTTTTTTTTAAATGACGCCGTAAATCTATGAGTTTTCCGAAAAAGGCAATATAAATTTAGTCTCAATGCCTTAGTAGGATGATATCAATAAGAAAATATTTACACGTGTCGTTGAAACGAAATACTAATAACTAGTTGTATTGTGTCGTTCAGTTAACTAACAAATACATTATGATTTTAACATTTCAAAAGTTAAATTTAGAAGTTATTGAATTCGTACAAAGTGATTGTATGGTGTAGTACTTGAGACTATTCAAACTCGTGAAAAGTCGTAAATGTATACAATCGAAAGATTTCTAAACATGATTAAAAAGCGCTGCTTCTTTTCGCATGCTTTTTCAACTAATCTTCAAACGAAATATGCCATAGATATAGTCAGTAGAAATGCAATAAATGTGGAAAAACGATAGGAATCATTCAAACAAACGGTTATTTAAGGGTTAACTTTGAGGTTATTCTAGAATAGAAAGCTGAAAAACGCATATAGATAACTAGAATTGATTAACTACATTAGTATTTCTTATAAACTACACATAATTACGGTGAATTTTACCAATCAAGTTATACATTCATCTCCAACTATGATCAAAACATTCCAGTCGATGTGATCTAAAGTAATTAATGTTTATTGAGCATTATTATTTATTTAAACACATGAACATTAGTACAAGGAGGCACTAAAGATATATGTGTCACACTACACCGTTCGATTCCTATGAGTGCTGTGATACTGCCCGAGCGCCCAAAACGAAAAAGGTGGTGTTCTTAGAGGGGCCACTCAACAACCCTTTAACGTAAACCTCCAATCCTCAACACATGGTTGGAACAACGTTTGGAGATGCAGTCCCATGGTAGTCGATGACCAACAATAGGTTCATACACCATTTATTCCGTCAGGATCCTCCAACCCACGTGTATCATTGGTTTAGAATTAAGGTTTTCCAACTCTCCTAGGTAGACCTTCCGTGTCCACTAACCGGTTAGAGCACCGGACATTCGCCTTGCGTTCTCTCAATTGCGTAAACAACACCCATGCGGCGAGACAACAGTGAGTAGGACCTCGCTGACAGTGGTTGTAGTATACGCGTGTCCATGTGAGGGTATTTCGAGAGGGGTGGCGATCATTACCAAGAATTGATTTGACATCAAGAAAAAACTAAAGTTTTCGACAAACA